GGATTATGGAGGGAAAGGCAGATGGGAGGGGGCAGCGGTCCGCGGGCTGGAGGGTAAAGGGCTCGGAAAACCGGGATCTAGCCTGGCCGGCTGCTCTATGTTGGTCCAGTGAACCTGTGGTTTTTATTTATACGCATTAAATATATGTTGCGTGTACGTGCGTGCACTTTCGTACATGTATGAGAAGGAGAGCTTTACGCTGGTTATATTTGGTCCCAAAATATACCGAAAAGCCATAGGATGCCTTTGAGAACGCCCGTTAAATTATGTTATTATTTCACCCTAGCCACGGTCTCTGCTGCAACTGCACCAAACGCAGCAGCAGTGGATGAGCGCAATTTTATGCGGACCGAAGGCATATCGTGTGCTGAGTCAGCACGTTTCTGCTCTCCCTTCCTGCCCCTCTTCAGCTGACTCTGGAGGTTAATTTAGTGGGATCTTTCTCCTGCCCTTATTATACTGTATAACTTGCAAATTACCTGAGACATCTCGACCGGATTGTAAATTTGGTGCAGCAGTTCCTGCTCTCCGACATGAGGGTTTGAAAAGGAGTTGTCACCGTTTTTGCCTCCTGCTGTTGAGCGTTGAAGAGCAGCATCTCCAGGTCTGGTTAACGTAACATTGTAGTATCTTGGTTAGTGCTTATTCTCGTACAGTAAAGAGAGGATGTGTTTGTTTTTATTACAGGCATTATTTTTGTTGTAGCCAAGTGACTTCCATATCCAGTCCTTCCAAGTGATTGTAATTAGATTAATTCCTACTTATACGTGAAGTATGCAAACAGGACTGCCTCGGATCGTTTGATGTTACCTTCATTAAAGCTGCCAGCGTGTATTTTCTTATGTGCACTAAGAAAATAACCACTTCACTTCCGCTGGGAAGCTGACTTCCCAGAGACCAGAATCTACTCGTTTTGGGCTGAGTTATTTCTCTTAAAATGAAGAGCGTGCTTGTCCCTTAGCCTCATGCTGTTGCCGTAAGTCCAAGTGGAAGCTGGATGCTGGGTGAGGTACTGGGTAAAAGACCTCTGTCTAAACAGCAACTTGCATTAGCTCCTTACCAAAGGCAGCGTCGACCTTGTTGTTGTTAAATATTGCTGTTGAATTAAAACCGTGCTGAGGCTATGAGGGCAGCGTGTGCTTGGAAACCTTAACTTCGGAAAGTCTTCATCTTTCTTCTTCTGTTTGCTGTAGCTCGGTGGAGATTTTTAATAATTTAAGATGCTGAGAAGGAATTGGATTGCACAGTGAGGAAGTGGCAGAGAAGAAAAACGTGATGTCTTCTGCTACAGTCTGTGGCCTTTTTCTGCTGCCTTAAGCATTCTCCTCTCCAATCCTGCTTGTGTCTCGTCCTAAAGGGCCTTTATAAGCTGTGGCTGGCCCAGCTCAATTAGGCAAAAGGGAAAAAAACCTGCAGTGAGCACAGGTCCGTACTTGATCCGTTCCTTCGTCTCCAGAATTCACACTACCCAGCAGAGTTGACTGAAGAGGTCACGTATCCCTTACATTAGAGCTTTTAGGTATTATGTAGCTCTTTGAGCTAAGTTAGAATAAAAGCATTCGAAAGTTATATTTCTAGCATCGGTTTATGCTAGTGAAACCGTGTTATTAACGTGATGAAGTATTAACCGTCTTTGCTGTCCAAAAGTATTTGACTAAAATATTGGAGACTTGTGCTGTTTTCTAAATCGTACTGCAAAGAACTATGTAAAAAGTCTATGAACTCGAGGAAAGCCTGTAAACCCCTTTCAGGTCACCAGTCATTCCTTCCTTTTACCAGCACTTTTAAAACAAAAACTGAATTAGATTTTGAAGTCTTATTTCAGAGGGTTTCTAATACTATATAGGCACACAGGGCTGCCTGCGCGGACCTCTGCAGTGACTGTCCTGGCAGGAGCGGCCACGTGGTCCATCTCCACCAGACCTTCGTAAAGGTCATATGATGGAGGAGATACTCCAGGTTCCTTAGGAAATATTGTCTTGCCAATGACCCTCCGCCTCTGTGGATCCAGCCTTTAGGCATCTCCGTATCGGCAATACTATATAGGCACACAGGGCTGCCTGCGCGGACCTCTGCAGTGACTGTCCTGGCAGGAGCGGCCACGTGGTCCATCTCCACCAGACCTTCGTAAAGGTCATATGATGGAGGAGATACTCCAGGTTCCTTAGGAAATATTGTCTTGCCAATGACCCTCCGCCTCTGTGGATCCAGCCTTTAGGCATCTCCGTATCGGCAGGGGTGAGCCAGGCTATCTGGGCAAGGTATGGGGTTAGCATCCCTCACCGGGACTGTACAAAAAAAAAAAAAAAATGGAGCCATCTTTTGATAATGATTATGTTGTTTTTGAGAAGTACAGGGTTTCCCCCTCTGCTTTTGATACCGTGGCCTTTTATATCTGACGCTGGTCTCCTGAAACTTTCCTTCCTTATAATTATCTTGCGTTGTGTATTTATGTTTGGAGCTCAGATGCTTGTTTGTTTTCCTCGGGGCTTGGAGGTTGTCACGCCAGGCTCATAGCCAGGGGGCCTTTAGTGGTGGTGGTTGTATCTGTATGCAAAGCAGTGTTCAAGAACAGCACTCTGTGTTACAAATAAAAATACCGAGATACTGGTCTCTGCTCCTCTGTTAGATTAATACTGTTTTATGTCAGCTGAACTGTATAGGAAGGCTCAGCCAAAGTAACCCCAAGAGGATAACTCCCAGCTAACAAAGGCTCCTTGGATACGTCAAAGTTGCAGTCGCATTTGCGGTGTCGCATCCTGCTTGCAACCAGAATAGAAAAATGAGTCGGGAAAATGTCATGGTCTGTGGTCTCCTTGATGCCTGGCCGTTTTAAAGGCTTGTTGGAGTATGCGCAGTTGACGTCAGATGGGCTTTATAGGTCGCTTTAACGTGCTCAGGGAGCTGCCCTTTATGTGCAGCTGTCGTATGATCAGGCAAAAATGTAAAGGTGACAGCAAATTGCATTGCTGGCACCCATTCGAGAGGCCTTGAACGTTGCTTGGGCAAAACTGAGCCCTGGAAGGGTTTTGTTAAGGGAAAAGGGAAAAAGAAACCTCTCCGTAGCCCGTTCTGTGTTCCTGCTTTTCCTGGGGGGTAAGGACTTGCATTCGTGGTCACCTGAGCAGTTCTCCTGTTATGCTCCAATATGCAACTTATCCTTCAAACCAGACAACAGATGAAACTCATGTATAACGTGAGTTGACAAAGTTGAATTGATTTTTGGGCATAACGCCCTCCGACCCCTTTAAAAAGAACAACCTTTGATATATGTATATATATAGAGAGAGAGAGATCTGTCAAATACAGCTTTTATTATAATCAGAAAGTATAAATGCTAAAAATCAGTTATTGGGGTGTTAGGTAAAACAGCTATATAAGGATTCAGTTATTTCAAAGCTATTGTTCAAGGTGGGAAAAGCTCCCCCCGCTCCATAAGGTTTAATGCACCCTTCACTTTAAATGCTTGGTTTTGCTTTTTCACAAAACCTGCATAGCTAGACCTCTCTTTGCTTTCAGCTTGCAGAAACCGCATGTGCTCAAACATCTATATTGATGTGCATATCTATTGTTTCTAATCTAGTCACCTGATCAATGGAAACCAGCATGTAATTAATTGTATGATATTGTGCACAATGTCCCTCTCTACGTTTATCTGGATGGATTTGTTACTTGTTAACTGTAGCTGCTCTCCTAACCCGTTTCAGGAGGATGTGATGAACAGTGTTCTCCCTGCCTGCCCAGTTTTTAGCTGATAAATAATTTTAAAGGGAAATAATTTCAAAGACTGTTGACTGTTTTTTTTCCCTGAACCTATTTTATCATATGCTTAATATTTCTATATTTTGATAAAACAATCCAAAATGAAGGAACTAATTGGAGATGCACAATGTGACTTCTGTTTCATTCAAATGTTTGTGGGGTTGGTAGGAAAAATTAAAAGCAAAAAAAAATTTTTTTTTTAAGCCTGCTTTTTTCCTGAAGATCTTACAGATGTCATTTGCAGTGAGCGAGCGAGGGAGGAATTGGAAGAGAGAGCAAAGGAATCCGTTACCAGTTTGCCCCAGTATCCCTTTGCGCTTTCTCCTCCCAGCCCCTTTTCAGCCACGCTGCAAGGCTGACCTTTTGTCGGGCCGCCGCTGCAAGAGTGGTGATGGTACTCAAGGGAAAGTTGCATCTGCCTGATCTGTCCACTATGATGTTCTACCTCTGCTGTTTTGGTTCTCGTGCAGATGGAGGGAACGAGGAGCCACCAGACCGAAGACAGGCAAGTGTAGACTCCCGCCAGAGCCGATCTGGGCAAGGTAAACACGAGTGTTGTTCTCCCTCAGAGACTCGTTTCTTGTTTGTTTGGCCTTTTATTCATCCGTTTTCTGTTTTTCATAGGCTATCTGTTCTTCTGGGATTCTTCTAACCATTGTTGTTGTTCAGATATTCAGAGCACAAAGCTGGCTATCTGTTCATAGTTTGAAAGCGTCTGGAATAATCAGGAGGTGTGCAGGAACCACTTGCCGCCTTCCCTGATTGCAAAGCAGGGAACCCGAGTAGTTCTCAGTAACCAATTTAGCCTTTCCTGCAAAACCCCTTGATGTGACAAGAGGTGGGACACGTGCCGCCTTCTGCACGGGGGCTGAAGATCTGCTTTTTACACCGTCTGCTTCGTTTTGTTTCGTTTCATCCTACAGGAGCAGGCAGAAAGTCCTAGGAAGAAAGTCATACAGTAAAAACAGACTTTACGTTATTTCAATATTGATTCCGCAAACTCTTTTGTTGCGGAGTACCCATAATTTGCAATAGCCTTGGTGGTTAAAGCCACACACGCTGTAGCTGTGTGTAGCAAGGAGTGCTGTCACTGACTCCAGCAGCTCTTAGCTCTGGGCTGGCTTATGTATCCTTAGAAGTAGCTTACTTAGAAGTTTTTAAGTATTTTCTCATTTATGAGGGCTGTGAAAATGCAGGTATCTTTACAGTGCTCACGAGATTGCTTAAAAAGCACCTTATGAAAACGTGACTCTCTAGTAGGTGCTGTCTATGTTGATTCGTTTTCTGCTTCAGATTGCAGCAATTATTTTGCTTTAATTTAGACTCAACTCTGTTGTTGTCATGGTGTCCTAATGACTTATTATAGAGACGTATTCTCCAGAGCATTGTTCTTTTTTTGGCAGTATTCCAGTGTTGCCCGGGCAAAATTGTTCCAAGCGATTGAAGCCTGTAATCAGAATTAGGGGGAACAGGAGTTTAGAGCTAAAACCATGAAACTCTGTGAAATGTCAACGACTGAAACTGCTTTGTTAACGTAGGCTCTCTTTAATTTAACATTTTCTATTTTAAAGTGGGGGACTTGAAATAAGAAAGAAGCAAGGCAATTTGTAACTGTACGTATGCAGTGAGAGCCTGCCTTCAACTCTCACTGGTTTTCTGTGATTTTGTTAGAGAATGCAAAATTAATAGTCCTTTTCCAAACACTATTAGTTCAAGTAAAGTTCCTATGGTATTCCTTTCAAAGGCAGAGCCTTACCCACTTTCTTTGCAGTTGGTCCTTACAACGTTTTCATTTGTTTGGGTTTTGTTTGTAAGTTTGTTTTTAGAAGCAACAACAGCCTCGATGAGACTGCTGATTTCAGAATTGCCGGCTGGGTTGCAGTACTTCGGCTTCAGACACTGGATTCTCTCAGCTTGCATTTCTGCGTATTTATTCTGAATCTTGGGTTGCTCTGGAAAAATATGCATTCAAGGAAATCTTTTTTTTTTTTTTTTCTGGAAATACTTGCCCAAAAAATGACATATGTATTTAAGTTTGCATTAAAATGCAACGCTGTAAACAGCGTAATTCTTTAGAAGGAGCTCACTTAATTTGCTTTGTATGATTATACGATTAGCCATAGTTAACAGGAAATTTTAGTGTGGAAGGGAATGGGGGGGGAAGAAAAACTAGAGGGAAGCATGCAACAAAATATTGCTTCCTACTTCTTTGAGAAACAGAAACTTCTGCGCTGCATATTTCCGTTTGGATGAGCGGATGTGCCTGTAAACCCAACCTGTCTTTCACATACAAGAAAGCTCACGCATGGAGGTTGCTCTTGTGTCCCGATACAGCATAGTGCTGCTGGATAAGAAGAGGTGGCAGCTTTATCAATCTGCCTTGCTTTCTGACCACGTTCCCTCCTTGTGTCTGGAGGGGAAGGAAAAGGGAGAGCTTTTTCCACTTCCTCCTGTTCCTGCTCTAATAAGCCTGGAGCTGACGCTTTCTTTCATCCCGTGTAAATTCTGCGAGGAGGAGGAGGAGAAGGCTCTCTTGCTCCGGAGAAGTATCGTCTTTAACCTTGCCCTGCTCTGTATGCATAAGTTCATACCTCTCTGCGTACGTTAACACGTATTGTTCATAGCGAGGGGTTCAGGGATGTTACTGTGCTCAGATAAACCAGCCAACCGAAATGAGGCAGTAATCTCACTATTATTTAAACTTTTATGTTGCAGCATGGGACGCCCAAGTATTGAATCTGTTTACGAAGCTTAATTCTCTTGGAATACTTCAGGAAGTGACTTATTAGTTCAGATATGCACTTTATAGTTATATTCTCTTTAAATATAGTTTAGAGAAGAACAGAAACAAAAATTTAAGAATAGTTCAATGTCTTTGTTTTTTTGTTTACTCCGGCAAGATGAGACAATTTTGACATTTGCGGGATGAAAACGCGTTCGTATGAGTATGTTGTGGATGTCCTGTGAGTTTTGTAAATCATTTGAGGATTTTAGGAGGGAAAATATTGTTGATAACTTTGCAAAGCTGCTGCCGTTATTTTTTTTTTTTCCCGTGTAAGACATTGCCCCCAGTTGCTCCCAGTTTTATGTAAGTGCCAGAACTTGGTCAAAGATACTGCAGACCTACTCCGTAATAATCAGTAAAACTCCTAGTGCCTTTAGATCTTCCCCAGAGCCTTAAGTGAGGTAAGATGTATAGTGTTTATAGTTTCAACAGAAACTGAAAATCTAGTCTGAGGAAACTAGAACTTTTTAAGAATCATTATAAATGGTGGCAAATCTTTTTTTTTTTTTTTTTTGTCTAGTGCCAGATACGTTTTGAGAAAACTTTGTAGCTCCTCTTTGTCAATGCCAATCCAGTCTGCGAACGCCAGCTTTGGCGCTGATGCCAGCGGTTCGCGTTCGTTCACCTTTCAGCTCTGCGCCTGGCACTGGGAGATGGTTATGAATAGGCTTGCAGAGTCAGCAGAGGTGTTAAGCTTGCAGAAACCCTTTTGAGAAAAGCAAGGTCCTGTATCGGCTTATGTCGAACAAGCTATATATGGAGCCAATAATTACAGTTGGCAATGTTCAGCTGAAAGAAGTCAAATTTTTTGTTATTGGCGGCAGCGTGCTATCAAATTATGCCCTCCTGGAAAAAGTAGGCCCAGCTGCATTAGTAGAACTTCTGCATCTTTTGGTTGATTTCCAGATGAAATTTAGAAACAAGATGGCATCAGACTTGAGATTTAGAAGTGTACTGAGCAGCAGCACTGTCCTGTTTGTTGGTTGAATGCAAGAATTAAACTTGCTCTTCAGAGCTTGTGTGTCCTTTCAAGAAACCTCGTTTGTCCTGTCTGCCTGCTGTACTGCATACCATCTGATGGGAGGAAATCTGAGACATAGCAATCTGCCCACCTTTGAAGCTGTGACCGCTGCGGCACAGCTGTGCCGGCTCGAATGTATGAAAAATGGAAGACCCTGGGGTGGTATTCAGCCGGCTGAATGTGGATGCGTGTAGTGTAGCTGTCTGCATCCGAGTCGATCACCCTAGACTCTCCCTTTACTGTCAGCAGAGAAGTAATCGATATAGTCGGTGGAGTCCAGGGTATGATTCTTCTTTTCCAAAGCAGAACCCCAAAACACTGAATCAGGCGAATCTTGTCCTAGACGGCCTGTGAAGCATTTCGAAACAGCTAGCTCAGATGTAGACACCTACTTTGTGGACACCAAAATTAGATGAGAGGCATGCAATTTCAGCACACCAAAGTGCTTCCTGTACGTGTGATTGAAGAGGACCAAAGAAGTACTTTGAAGAGGCACGTAAGCACGGGCTCCACCAATGTAAATGCATATAATGAAGCATTGCTGCTGGTGGATGGGTGACGGTGGCACCTGGCCATTCACTTAGGCTGCGAAGCAAGGCTGAGCCACTGCTGAGCTAGAGCGGTAGGAACTGCAGTGAAAAGTTGGTAAGTCCGTAATTCTCGTTTTCTCAGACTGTAACCAAATATTTCGTATTAAAATGAGAAAAACATATGCTCAGCAGCAGCATCCTTTAATACAAAATGAAAGGTAAAAAATAGCAATGACCTGCTTCCCCTTAAAGGGATGTAGTCAATTAGAGCATTTCTATGCACGCTTCATTAAAGCAGCATAAAGTGAAAAGAAAAAGATCAGCGTCTAGCTCATAGTGACAATAATGGCAACCTCTAATGAATTCAACTTAAATATATCAAACTGTTGCATACTTTTGAGAGCTTGCTGAAGTCATAAAAACTTAAGAACGAAACTTTAAGGATTAAACTTCAAACGTATGTTCAGTTAACTCCTATGAACGTGGCAAATGTCCGGCAAACAAGCATAGAAGTCATACTTTGAACTGTCAAAAGTAGGCGTATGGATAATGTGCATTAGTGTATAATTTATTGCAGAGAACAATACAGAAATGCTGAGAGATATCCCTGAAAGTTGGCCTCAGTAATGGGTGGATTTTAGCCACAAATGATACTACCTTTTAGCAGGTTTCAGGAGCTTGTCCAAGATTTAAGTTATTTGAATGTGTATTCTTCCTGCGCTCATAAATAATATTTTGCATTTTTCACATTGTCCTTTGGATATCTGGAGAAGTTAGTCCATCGTCTCCTCCAAAGTACCACGTGTTTCAAAGCGCTTATCCTTTTGTCTTCTCCACAGACAGTTTCCCTCTACCCCCAGTCTAGGAGTTGCACTTTCTTTGAAATATGTTTATGCAAGCCACTGAGAACCACCCAGAGCTCTCCAATGTGAATCAAAGAATTACCTTGGTGGAGGAAAAATAGTAGTTGGCAGCAAAAGCTAAAATGTGGCTCTTAAAGGTGTAGTACAAGTGTAATTTTGTTACGTTATTTGTAGTGGAGTGTAAACGTGACCGGTTTTAAGATGGTTTTGCATCTTATCGACTCACTAAGGTTAATATCCCTTGTGCCTAGAGGCAGAGCATCAGGTATTCTTGCTCACAGGTTTCCATGTTCTGCAACTAATTGGAAAAATTTAAGGCTGATTTCGAACGCCTTCCCTTCCTTTTTCAATAATAGAGGTTGCAATAGTTAGCAATAATGTGCTTTTAAGATCTAAGATGTTAAATCTCCACTTGCTGTCACGTTACTTGACCGTCTTCCTTGTGTGTCGGTAGTAACGTAAACCTCATATAGGCTTATTCGGGACCTTGCTGGTACTTTACATTTAAGCGTGTTACGTGGAGAGTTGTGCGGCTGGTTGCTTTTAGAGGGCTTTATTCGTTCCTCTTTTTTTTTGCTAAGGCTTCTCTCTTCGCGTAGGCTTCTCAAATAGACCTTTGCTTATTCCATCCCTAGTATCTTTTCACATTTCTTTCCTTAAGCTGCTATTGCCTTCCCTGTCTGTTCTCCAAGATCTAAGCTACCAGCTCCTGAAGATTGATGCTTCCCTGGCAGAAAGCACTGAATTTGGTTGCCATACTACCTGGCATATGGAAGGCCAGCACATTTTCTTGCTCAAAGAAAGTATGAAAGCTGTTTTAATCCAAAGGCTTTATATAAATAAGAAGTGTTATCAAAATACAAAGAGAAAATGTAATTAAACCAATCTGATCTTTTTATAGTAGAAAGCCACAATCTAAACGTGCCAAAAACTATCAGTAAAAGGATTACTGCTGTGTCTGAATTGTATTTAAAACTGGTGACTCTAGGACTCGTAAATAAAAAAGTCACAACAAACGCTTTGTGGTTATGCTGCTCATAACCTAAAGAGATGCGCTGAGATGCTGGTTACAGAAATGTCGTTTCTTCGCGGGAAGCATCAAGATCGTCCGAGGAGGACGTGCGAAAGGAGCCGTCGCTGCTGTCTGCAGGCATCTGAGGGACCTGCAGCGAAAGGTCGCCCAGGCTGTACTCGCCCCGACCCAGACAGCCCTCTGCCTAGCAATGATAAAAGCAGTAGACTTCCTTTTATTCTAAGCGCTTCTGTTTTATGTTTATCTTCCTCCCAGGCACCTCCACAGAGAACGACTGTGCTTTTGAACCAGACTACGCAATTCCTCCACTCCCAGTGACCGAAGGTATGCAGCACATTCGGATTATGGAGGGCATGTCCCGCTCTCTTCCATCCTCCCCCTTACTCACACATCAGTCTATCAGTGTTCGGCTCCAACCTGTGAAGAAGTTAACTGGTAAGGACTTTAAATAAGTTCAGTGGGGCTTTTAAGGTCCATTGGTGCAAAATCTGTAAGAAAACTCTTTGAACAAGCTTCTGCATGCAAGTCGTCATTTGTTTACTGTGTCACCTGCTTGAGTCAAAAGCTGTAGTGTTTGCAGAATCGGAGTATTTTAAGGAATGGATTGGCTGCCACTCTGATGGAGAAATCTTTCTATTCTCAAAATGATCCCTCCGTTTTACAAATAATCTCTGGTTTTCTAGGAAACTTCTGGTAGCACCAGAATGTATGTTAGTTCCACTTCGTATCCTGGTTTATGCACAAGAAAAATGCTATAGTAATTTTAAGGAACTGTATGCTAAAATTTTTAATGCTTAGAGAAGAATGCATCAGAAAAACAACAAACTTGTTTTGGTATGGCAAAGTGATTTTTTTTCATAGTTCATATTTTTAAACTGTTTTTGTTTCTCTCATCTCCTGGGATTGGGTGTTTGAACTCCTAAAGGTTTGAAAGCAGTTGGATTTTTGAAAGAACCTGGTGACTAGCATGTATTTAAAAGCCTGACATCATGTTGGTACTGGGAACAGTTTCACGAAACTTGCTGCTTGCATAAAATCTGGCATTCCTCCCTGCCCACCTTTAAAAATGATCAGCCAGGACACTACGTTTATATTGAGAGAAACCGCCCACAAAAAATTTAGCCAATGTAGTTGAGTCTGGGCTTACGAAAGGGAGCTCTAGTACCCTCTTTCATGCCTTTCATTTTCCCAGCCCTCTGGTGAAAGGAGAAATTGAAAAGGATTCAGGAGCGTGAGCAAAACTCTGTGGTTTGGCTGAGGCTGCTCGGAGCGTGCTTGGCACACGAGAGCCATGAAAGCCGGAGCGAATAACATCTTTCACCTGTGTTAAGTTTAAGAGAGTTTGTCTGCTGTCTAAAACGTTCCTGTTTCATTCCTCACTCTCGCATCGGTGCCCTGATCACTGGGCAGAGGTTTGTCTGCTGCCCAGAACCGTCTTCGGAGCAAATCATCTCCCTTCTATAACCTTTTTTTAATCAAATGTTCTCTGTGATGGATAAATGCAAGAAAGAAACATCGGCCAAAAAACCATGAGAAAATCAACAGGAAGGGGATGCTCTCTTTTGCTGTGACTAACACCCTGATAACCCTTTTTTACCTTGATAGTGCATCTATCCCATCTCTGTTCCAGGGCCGCTGACTCCCAGCAGTGTAGTCTTGTCCTCACAGAGAGTCCTTGCCACCTCCGTCGCTGCTCCCTGTCATCCACCTCACACTTTGCAAATGAGTTGCTCTCATGCTTCCTTTAATATTTTAAAACTAGCTGCCTGGTCACGGGAAACCCTTCCAGGGAGTTCACCCAGCAAAGATGTTTTTAAAGGTGTTAAGCTGCACCTAGTGGTCAGTTTGAACCACCACCTGTAAATCTAATTTAGGTGTTCCAAAATTTATGAGAGTGAGTATCAGCTCTGATTTGAGATTAAGATACCTGAACATAGACATCCTGACGTTCACCAGCTATTTAAACTCCGTGGGACGCTAATCACTAGAGTCCATGGTAGCTGATGAATGATCCAGCTGGCCAGACGTAGGCGTCCAATTTGGAACGATCTGAGGTGGTTTTCAGGTTCCTCTCTTTCTAATGCAACTTTAAACAATTGTTTGCATCTGTGCACCTGCGTTTAGGGGTCTGGATATAAACTGAATCCATATCTGAGCGCTCACTTAGCATTTACTCCTTTGTACAGAATGAAACCGATTCTTTCCTTAACAAAACTGCCTCCTAGCTAGTGTTTGCAGCAACTTCATGGAGCTGGGTTGGTGGAAATTACTGTCTTTGATCATGTTCGTTGCTTGGCTGGGCCACCTTTGTAGCTTATGGTGAGGAGGCAGCATTTGGTCTTTAAAAAGTTTAATAACAATTATGTTTAAAGAAAACTGCTAGGACGTAAATGCACACTTAGCATTTTACCTGCCTGAAAATAGCAAAGAATCAGTAACTGCGCGTTACGGGTTCTTTAATGCCTCTAGTTGATCAGAAGGATAAGTGACACCAGCTGTAGGTGGTGGTAAGAGGTTTTGTTTTGTTTTGTTTTTGTTTTTGTTTTGAATGCTGATTTGGGTGAATTCAGCACCATACTGAAGTAAGTTGAAGTTCCACTGAGAGCAGCGGAGAGAGGGTAAAATCTATAGAATTGTGTCTGTTTCCACATGAAATTGCAGATAACTCAATCCCCCAAAATTGTAGTCAATGGAATGTTTAATTTTCGAAAGCAGTTATGATTCTTAATGTGCCACATTCCCAGTTTATTTGAGACTACGTGGAAATAAGTAGTTTGGAAGTTTGTAAATTTTTTAAGAGTCAAGTTAAAGTAGCTGCTTTGTTAGAGGGAACTACAAAACAGAGAGATGTGTAATTACAAAGAGGAAATTATGCAATTTTTCCCATGCAAGCTAGATAGCATAGAGAATGGATACAAAATACTCCCAAATGAGCATTTTTAACAATTAAAGGAGTAACAGTGGAATTATTAGCTTTTCTAGACAGCTTGCTAAAGGGGCGAGGTTTTGTAGAAAGATGCCTAGTGAGATTGTAAACAAGAAATAGCATTTGATAAAAGAAACATTTTTACAGGACCCTAATAGTGGACATTTCCATTTTATTTCACAAACTGATCTTTGTGTTTTATAATGTAAGTAAAGCCCCAAAGGGGCGGGCTGTTTAAATCATTATTTTGTAGATGCCTCTGTGCATCAGCTGGGAAGTACCTATGACAACTGCTGCTTTTTTAGGGGAGAATGCTCAAAAAAGCAAAACTTACTTGTAATTTTGTGTCTTAATTTCATTTGTGTGTGTGTGCACGTACATTTCTTTTAAATGTAAAAAATGAAAGTCAAATCAGATAAAATATACTAAATGTAACCAGTATTTGTTATAGATCTCTTAACAGTTGCATATTTATCATAATCCGACTTTACTGGATGGCAATCAGTAATATTGAGCTTGTTAATGCGCTGGAATCTCTTAAGAATTTGGGTTTCCAGTTTCTACAATTTTGAGTGCTGTTTCAGGAAAGAGGCTAAAGTTTAATATGCAAGCTAAAAAGAGCTGATGAAAAAAGCCTGTTTTATTTGATAACCATATGATAAAAAGAGTGGGTTATTGCTGCGTTTTGAAAGGTACCAAGGTTTGTCAGTTAGACATAAACAGAAGTTATATGTGCTGAAAAGTAACTGAATAGTTAGTGGTGTGTGTGTGTTAGTGGTGTGTATGGAATAAGTATTTGAGATTAGGTATCATTAGGTATTTATAAAAAATAATTTCAAATAGCATCTATTTTACCCTCAATAAATACGAGGGAATTTTCTATTTTAGTTATTTGCTCCATTGCAGGGTGGAAAACTGCCATTGTGATTTGGTTGTTTTATACCCTTTTCTCTCTCACGTTAATTACTGTATGTAGGATAGTTCAGGCAATAGTTTGATGATGTGGATTTTGGCGGCAAAGCCAAACGAAGAAGTTGCAGCTCCCAGGCGCTTGTTAGATCAGCGCAGCTGAGATGACACCTGACTTTTGGCAAGACCTTCCTGGAAGCCCAGGCTGGCAAACCGGGACTCTAATATGCACCCGCTAGGCAAAAGTGGGTTTTCTTCAGAGGAGTTTGACAATGCAGAGCTAGCGATCAAGTGAAGGGGTTTGGAATGGCATTAAAAAGGCCAAGGCAGGAGGAAGAGACTTCTTAAAACCAAGGAAGCGATTTTAACTCTGCAGGAACTTGTAGTGGGTTGAGGCCGTTCAGCGGGGGCGAGGTCCAGGCGGGGAAGTGACATTCAGAAAATAAAGGGCTGTGAAAATGTTTTAAAGGGTGCAAAAGCCTGGAGTTCGGCTGTCTTGCTCAGCTGTCTTCTGCATGAATTTTTAATTGATAAGGACTTTGAAATCGTCTCAAGTTCTGTCTTACAACATGAAGGTCTGAAAAGAACTTTTCAGTGGAGACGAGAACAGCGGCGTAGTTCTAAGCACGTCCTTCAGGAAGAAGGATGCTGTGACACCTGGGCGACTTGGGAGGGGTTTTTGAAATACTTTGATTTTTAAAAGTATCCTTCAATTCATAGTCTCCCGTCAGAGTTGTGCTGGGGGTGTGCAGACCTACTTGCTATGATTTTTGACCTTTTTCTTTTATGAAACAGCTAAGAATGCTACATATCTTGCTTTACCAGAGTGACTGCTAAAATGAGCTTTTTTTTTTTTAAATATTCATTAGTGGCTTTTAGAATCATAAAAAGAGAAGTCGTTTCAAAAGTAGTCCATTTCAGCATAGTCTGTCTAATGCCTTATTATTTTTTCTTCTAGTTGTCAGTAGTTTCTTCAGATGCAAATGCACTGGTTGCAGTGCTTCAGCGGGTGGAAATCCTCTGTGTATTTTTAATGAAGTCTTTTCTTTGTGTAATGCCAGATAGTAAGTGGCAGGTGTGGAGCCCAAAAGCGTCCTGACACTGAAAGCATAGACTGTGAAAAATGAAGAAATAAATTGCAACCATTTTTTCTAGTCATAACATGCATTGGTACTTGTTTAATGTGTGGTATGGCGTATAGCTGATTTGCTCCAGTTTTACCTGAGTTTTCTCCTACGGTCTTTATATTCTTCCCAGTTCCTTCCTCTTTTAGTCTTTGAGTCACTTAAGATTTTCTTTTAGGTTTGCAGAGCTTCTTTAGGAGGAGTAATATTAATAATAGTAGTACTGACTAATATTACTAATATTAGTAATATTAGCCAGTCCCAAAGACCTTTTTTTTTTTCCCCTCCCCTTCAATCCAAGGCTGAAAAGCATTAAATAGTTCAGGCCTCTGTACTATCACCAACTCATTCGTTACTCTTCTGCTACCTTCTTTTGACGCTACTCCCCTCTGTTCATGCTCTGCCCTGTTGTAGCTCTGAGTAACCTTATATTCCTACCAGTACTCGGACAGTTCGTTAGTCTTCTCTCAAATATT